CTATCATATGAATTGGAAGTATCGAGCGGGTTCTAATGGGTGGAGGATCAGTAGTGAGATACTTTACTGTAGATGAGGAATTACATATTTGATGTCTTAAGAGTAGGAACATGAGTTCCATTGAACCAAGTCTACGTGCAATGACGTGCTCTCTTAACGAATTGTTCTCATAAACGTTAAAAAGGTGAGAGGGTTCAGCTTTTGTAATATATTTTGCCATATATCGCGCAAATTCTTTGTTTGTTATGTATTGTGCGTTCATGTGTGCATTCCAAAGTAGGAGAGTTGGAGCATGGTAAGGGACGACCCAAGTATCAGCTTCGGTTAGACATTTGTAGATGTAACGACAGTTATCTTCTTCATAGTGGGTTGATTCACTATAAGGACGGGGGAATCCTTTTTTACACGTTTGTGTTATAAGGTTTGGTCTTCGGCATTTTTTGTTGCAGGTGTGTATTTGATTGGCTACGACTGCAGCATAGAGTTCGGGTTCATATAGTGGATCTGGCATAGTTGATTGTATTACATCATTTTGGATTATATCTTGAATGGTATTAGCTGTCCAATAGCAACTATGGGTATGAGCCGCACCTCGGTTTTGAAATTCAACTCTGTCGAAGAAATTGGTAATTTCACCAAAGCCTGTAAGGTTTGGTTTTTTATAAAGTTCTTTTTTTAATGACTGAAACCTGTGAACAAAATAATTTGCGCAGTGATATGGTCTATTGGTTGGTAATGTGTTACGATTATCACTGTTAGCAAGTATAGTATGGAGGTGCGACCAACGGCTTTCAGCCATACTTAAGGTGATAAATAAGGTTGGTAGATTAAATTTTCATATCATTGCGTTTAAGTGAAGTTGTTTTTGGTAGAAATAAGTATCTCCTGTGCGTATAAATGATGGAATAGGAATGGTTATATTTTCATTAATTATGTTATATGGAGTGTAAGTGCTGGGATTAAGTAGATCTCTGCCTGATGGGAGGCGTTCATTGTTAGTGAGGTTTGGGTTGATACTTCGGAGTATTCGTTGTGTGTTTTGATGGTGTCTTAGTTTTTCCAATTGAAGGTAAGACCAAGAGAGCCAGTGGTTATGAAGTCTCCATCTTGAATCAATATTCGTTAAGCGTAATTTAATATATTTGCCATAAGTTTCATCACGAGTTTCGTTTTCTAATGTAGATTGGTTTGAGATATCGTGAAAATGACCTTTTCCATCAGTAAATAGGTCGGGAAAGAGTAAGGGTTCTAGGTTTGGGTCATGGGTAGCAATTGGTAATCGTAAGGTGTCACTTTCTTGGACAAAGCCTGCCATTAATCTGGTATAGTGAAAATCTTCATTATGGATTTCGTCTGGAAAATCATAGTTAGGTACTATTATTTCATGAGAGTTGACGGGAGGTATTTCGTTATTAGTTTGGCTGTGTTGTGCTATTGGAAAGGGACCATTTCGATTTTGTTGTAATAAGAGATTAGAGAATGGGCGAAGATACGGATTATTTTCAGATAATCAGTTAGCAGCGTGTTGCAAGGCTTGATTATAGTTTGAGTTATTAACTGAATTATTATTGTTTTCTGGCTCTAAGAAAGCACCTAAAGTTCGAGAATATAATGCAAGAGCTCTGGAGTTGCACGAATAGCCCATGGTTCCGGTTAAAGATCTATATTCAGAATAGGGATTGCTATTTGGCATTCTACCTAAAGAGCAATGGAGGTATACTGGTGACAAGCATTTTCTTATATATAAGGGAACAGAAGTAATTTCTACTGGCATTGGAGAAAGATAAGGGAATGAAAACCTTGTTTCGGGTTTTTTACAAGAATTACAGGTAGGTACTCTAAAATCTGTAATTAGATTAACATTGGGGTTAAAGGATAAGGAAACACCGGGTTTGCGTTGCTGTAGAGGGTAAGTAATTGATGGATTGTAAATTATCCATGATGCTTTTTCAGGATATAGAAGGGTTCCGCAATATACACAAGCAATTCGGGGCCATTGTTTTAAAATATTATTTTGGAACCTATCATATAAATTTTGGAGTTCATTTGAGGGTCTCCAATATGTACGAGTTTGAGGGTCGTTATTAAGTGGGTTGGATAAAGATGAAATGGTAGGATTATCAGAATTGTTAGACTCAGAATGTGATATGGGTTGAGAAGATAGGTCTACTAATGATTCGTATTCGTCATCGAATATGTATACATTACGAAGTTGGTGCGTCATTGTTAAATAATTCGATGATTTTATTTATTGAAAAGAAATATTTGAACTTTTGTTATGGAACAAAAATAAATTGAGGCAAAAGTTTAGATTGAGTACGATTTTGGTGATCTGGTTTTATTTAATTCAGAAATTGAATTGATAAATTTCGAAGGTAAAAAGTACGGATTAAATACGTTTTTTAAAAATTTGGCATAGATAATAATTTATAATTTTTTTCATTAATGCAAATATGTTTCTTATTTTAAAGCGGATGGCTTTTTTGCATGTTTGGTT